GCACAGATAGAATAAAAACGTTTTATTGGTTTATTTTTATTTCCAGCGGAGTCTGCATGGTGTTTTATTTTGAAAAATGACTAGCGCGTCTTCCTGTCACTTCCGTTTGTGTTCATTTCCCGGACTTGACTGTCAGTTTTTATGTCCGGCTGCTAAAGGAAGCCGTCAGTCAACAACAAACGTCTCAGGAGAGCTGCTTTGGAAAGTGGGAGAGACTTAATACTGAGACAGAGAAAAAGTAAACATGTTAAGTAACAAAAAGTAATTTTATTTATTTATGAAACTTTTCAATAGAAAAAAAATATATATTATTTGTTATGTGTGTAATGACCGGTCCGTAGAAAAATTTCTTGCTTAAAACTGGTCCGTGGTGCAAAAAAGGTTGAAGACCACTGATCTATAGGCGAGTTTACTATTGCATAAATAGATTCACGCTTACAAGGACATTAACATAAAATAACACAGTAAATAAAACAGTGGCCGATATTATGTCATTGTAAAATATTGGTTCTCTTCAAATCAGCAATATATGGACCATATTTGTAACATCTTGTTTCTGTAGAAATGACAGTATATATTTGCTGAATGGTTAATGGTTTTCTACTGTAAATTTAAATTACACATCAGTGAAATCCGTGATTTATACTGAATGATACTGTAAATTTTAGGGTTATTACCAACTTTTGACTTTACGGTATTTTCTCATTCATTTTACAATTGTTTGAAAAAATCACAGTAAAATTGTGTGTTTTTTACATATTGTACCCGTAAAAATTAGAGTTATGTACTGTTTCTTGATTTACGGAAATTGATTGTATTTACTACGGTGATAAACAATTTTGGAATTGACGGTCCTTTACTGTTGCTATTTAACAGTTTTTTACTGTATTTTTTACAGACTTTTTTTTTTACAGTGCAGCACTTCTGTGACCTCCTGTGCCAGCTTCCACTGGTCTGCTGTCAGGTCCAGAGTACGATCAGTGTTTTTTTTTTGTCACGCTTGGGTGCTCCCCCCTGAACTGACACCTTATCGTGGTGGGGGAGTTTGTGTGCCCGAATGATCCTAGGAGCTATGTTGTCCGGGGCTTCATGCCCCTGGTAGGGTCACCCAAGGCAAACAGGTCCTAGGCGACGGGACAGACAAAGGGCAGTTCAAAAACCTCTATGAAAAGAAAAACACCAAGGAAAGAGACGTCGCCCGGTATGGCGCAGCCGGGGCCCCACCCTGGAGCCAGGCCTGGGGTTGGGGCTCGAACGCAAGCGCCTGGTGGTCGGGCCTCTGCCCACGGGGCCCGGCCGGGCACAGCCC